GGTCGTCTATAAAATGCATTGCTGTTCTGTTGTAAGTGATCTTAAAGATTCCTAAATGCATCTACTTTCGGAAGGCCAAATAAAGTGCTTTTGCTTTCGCCTAGAAACACACAGCGTCTCCCTGACATCAACACTAACTGCGGTTACTGAAACCACACCTTCTTTCTTTGCGTGAACATTTGGGTGCATTATGCAAATATTCCCACATAGTGAGGTAGATATGTGGGGGCGTGTTAGAACGAGCCGTTTTAGGGGGGCGTGGCAGAGTCTTAACTTTGATAAAGAATATCTCTTTGGTTTTGAGACTTTAGTCTTTGCAACTTCAGGGATCTTATCTATGCACAATCAGCTTGTAACACTCCAAAGAGAAAGGAAAACTTGAAATCGCATCATATGACCCCTTTAAGTTAACACGGTACCTAAAGTTCTCACCTGATACTTGTCTTGAATGTGACCCTTCAAAATTGTGGCAAAATCTACATCCAGACCAGTGTTCACACCATCCTCCAGACCCATTGTGTCACACAAAATGAAGGGAACATGGGTAACACTGCTGCTTGGCTTTATGTAGTAGGGACGAAACTACATGGCACAAATATTTACCCATTAATTTCAATACACACTTACATAATTATAAACTTTGTATAATTAGTCTATAACTATAATACCTAACTAGTATTTTTCACACAATATTTCGCTCCGTGAAACAGAGGTTTAATTAATCATGTGTACCTGAGTAGTCAAACTGGTGCCAGCAGTGCCAGTGTTAGCCTGGCTGCTCACGTAACCCTTGAATGCAGAGTTGATGGAGTTGAAGAAACTCGATTTTCCAGCCCCTACAGGACCTACCAGTAGAATCCGAGCCTCTTTGACTGAGCTAACAGAAGGCTTCCAGCCAGAGATGGTGCTCAATAGAGCCTGCCTCCTCCTAAAACATTATTATTGTCATTGTCAAATTCCTTAAGCACTCATAGGGACACAGTAAGTCAGAAACATTTCTTAAAATTAGTTAATAACTTAGCTAAATAACTTTATTATTTTGTAGACAATGAATGAATGTTACTTCAGTAACAGTTTGTCCTGAAGATGAACTAAAACATCATCCTGAAAATTATGCTTTTCGTTTTGGCTTTGTTCTGTTGTCTTGCATGTAAGTATCCCATTCCAACCCTCTTTTTTCTGCTCATTTGTATGTCTTTGTCGTAAACATGCATTTAACCATTAATAATCTCATCTGCAGGTGTGAGTTTTGGGAATTGGGAATTGGGAAACTGAGGTGTTTGGGACTGAGGGGGGCAATATAACTCTGTCCTGTAACT